GACCCGCACGGCAGACCAGCACGGCAGCCCATAGGAACATAGCAGACCAGATCATGTCATTGACGCTGCTGTTGTTGGTGATGATCATGTTGCTGCTGATGGTGATGGTGATGCGTACGATGATGATAATGATGATGATGAGGAGGAGGAGGAGGATGATGATGATGAGTATGAGTATGAGTATGGTGATGATGATGGTGATGATGATGATGATGATGATGATGATGATGATGAGGATGATGATGGACTTCTCGGGGTGTGCTTGGGAGATGTTGGGGTCCTCTGGAGAGCCTTTGGACTAGCAGTTTAAATCTGCGTAGCCGTTGTAACCCGACTCTAGTTTTCTTCATCGGTCTGACCGGTTTATCAGCTTACACGGCACAGCGCAGCAACACGACAGACGGCAGCAGCACGGCAGACCAGGAAGGCAGACCACAGGAGCACGGCAGACCAGAACGGCAGACCAGAACGGCAGACCGCAGGAGCACGGCAGAGCAGCACAGCTGACCACAGGAGAACGGCAGACCAGCACAGCGTTGTTGCAGCAGACGGTGCTGATACACTCTTAATTTATTGAACACGTCCCCAGCGAAATCGTCATGGTCGGCCGTATTGAGGGCACTCTGCGGGTCATCTTTGGGCCGATCTTGTTTTTGGGGGGCCGTACTGATGCCCTCAAAAACGATTCCAAGACGACGTTAGACTCATTGTTTTTTTGATGATTGTTCGGCCGTCTTGAGGGCACTCTTAGGGCATAGTCTGCCGTGCTCCTCGTCTTGGTCTGCCGTGCTCCTCGTCTTGGTCATCCTTTCCGTCGTCTTGAGGGCGATCTTGGTGCCTGGTCTGCCGTGCTCCTCGTCTTGGTCTGCCGTGCTCCTCTCGGTTTCAGTGCCTGGTCTGCCGTGCTCCTCGTCTTGGTCTGCCGTGCTTGTGGGGTCTCGGCAGACCACAGGAGCCCGCGAACAACACCCCGCTTTCGCCGGCGGATCAAGTTTTGAGGACTGTCTCGAGCGAGATGGCCATTTTTCGGAAAACCTGACCGGCAAGAAACGGAAGCGTCCTTTTGTCCCATGGGCTTATGAGACATTCCACGTTTTTAGTAACGGCAAGACCACAGCAGTGCCAAGGTACAATGCCGTTCGTCTTTGGGGTCTGCGTGCTACGTGGAGTTGCCGTGCGAACGTGGGTCTGCAGTGTCCTGCGTGGTTCTGGCGTGCTCCTGTATGGTCTGCCGTGCTCCTGTGTGGTCTGGCGTGCTCCTGTATGGTCTGCCGTGTTCTTGTGTGGTTTGCCGTGCTCCTGTGTGGTCTGCCGTGCTCCCGTGGGGTCTGCCGTGTCCTGTGTTGTCTGCCGTGCTCCTGTGTGGTCTGCCGTGCTCCTGTGTGGTCTGCCGTGATACTGTGCGGTACTGCCGTGCGAACGTGTGGGGAAGCTGTGCTCATTTGGGGTCTGCCTTCCTTTGTGGTTTTGCCCCTCCGTCCTGTGCGGTCTGCCGTGCTCCTGTGTGGTCAGCCGTGTCACTGAGGCGTCTTTACGGTGCTCCTCTGGTGTCTGCCGACTCATTTGGGGCCTGCCGTGCTCCCTGTGGTCGGCCGTGCTTCATTTGGGGGCTTGCCGCCGCCTGTGAGATCGCAGTGCTCCTGTGGAGGAAACGCCAGCGGCGTTCGGGGTACAACAAAAAGGCACGTTTATGTTGTACCCGCGCGCGGTCTGCCATGCTCCTGTGGGTTCCGCCGTGCTCCTGTGGCGTATGCCGTGCTCCTGTGGCGTCTGCCGGGCTCCTGTGTGGTCTGCCGTGCTCCTTTGTGGTCTGCCGTGCTCCTGTGGAGTCTGCCGTGCTCCTGTGTGGTCTGCCGTGCTCTTGTGGTCTGCCGTGCTCATTTGGGATTTGCCGTGCTCATGTGGGGTCTGCCGTAATCCTGTGTGGTCTGCCGTGCTCCGGTGGTCTGCCGTGCTCCTTTGGGGTCTGCCTTGCTACTGTGGGGTCTGCCGTGCTCCTGTGTGGTCTGCCGTGCTCCTGTGGTTTGCCTTGCTCCTGTGTGGTCTGCCGTGCTCCTTTTGGGTCTGCTCTGCCGTGCTCCTGTGGGGTCTGCCGTGTTCCTGTGGGGTCTGCCGTGCTCTTGTGGGGTCTGCCGTGCTCTTGTGTGGTCTGCCGTGCCCCTTTGTGGTCTGCCGTGCTCCTGTGTGGTCTGCCGTGCCTGTGTGGCCTCCAGTGATCTTGTGTGTCAGCCGTGTCCGTTGGTCTGCGTGTCTGTACTGTGGTCTGCCGTGCTTCCTTGGGGTCTGCCGTGTCGGCCGTCTGAGGGCACTTTAGGGCATAGTCTGCGTGCTCCGTCTGGTCTGCCGTGCCTCTCGTCTTGGTCTGCCTTCACGTGTCTTGAGGGGGGGAGCACTCTTGGGGCCTGGTCTGCCGTGCTCATCGTCTTGGTCTGCGGTGCTCTCGGTTCCATAAGACTGGTATGCCGTGCCCTCGTCTTTGGTCTGCCGTGCTACTCTCGGTTCCTAAGGAGCTAAACGATTTTAAGCCTCCAACACCTCGATTTTTCGAGGATGTCTCGAGCGAAATGGCAATTTTGGGGAACCTGACCGGACAAGAACGGGAAGCGCCGTTTTTTATCCACCACGTGCGTCAGAGACCGTATGGGCGAGAACGTCAGAGAAACCCATAAACGCAACAGAACAGACTAAATGATGGCCTGCCGCGCTCCGACGGCCCAAGACGGCCCAAGAGGCCCCCAAGATCGCTTTAAGATCGCCCAAGAGGCCTTCAAGATGGCACCGAAACGGCCCAAGAAGTCCCCAAGACGGTCCCAAGAGGGCCCTAACACGGCGCAAGAGGCCTCCAAGACGCCCAAGATGTCTTCCAAGACGGCCAAGATGGCATCCAAGACGGCTAAGATGGCTCCAAGAGGGCCCCAAGACGGCCCAAGAGGCCTCGAAGACGGTCTGCCGTGCTCCTGTGGTCTGCCGTGCTCCTTTGGGGTCTGCCGTGCTCCTGTGGAGTTTGCCGTGCGAACGTGTGGTCTGCCGTGCTCCTGTGTGGTCTGGCGTGCTCATGTATGGTCTGCCGTGCTCTTGTGTGGTTTGCCGTGCTCCTGTGTGGTCTGCCGTGCTCCCGTGGGGTCTGCCGTGTCCTGTGTGGTCTGCCGTGCTCCTGTGTGGTCTGCCGTGCTCCTGTGTGGTCTGCCGTGCTCCTTCTTGGTCTGCCGTGCTCATGTGCGGTCTGCCGTGCTCCTGTGCGGTCTGCCGTGCGAACGTGTGGAATGCCGTGCTCATTTGGGGTCTGCCTTGCTCCTTTGTGGTTTGCCGCGCTCCTGTGTGGTCTGCCGTGCTCCTGTGTGGTCAGCCGTGCTCCTGAGGCGTCTACGGTGCTCCTTTGGGGTCTGCCGTACTCATTTGGGGTCTGCCGTGCTCCTGTGGTCGGCCGTGCTCATTTGGGTCTGCCGCGCGCCTGTGAGATCTGCCGTGCTCCTGTTGGGGAAACGCCAGCGGCGTTCGGGGTACAACAAAAAGGCGCGTTTATGTTGTACCCGCGCGCGGTCTGCCGTGCTCCTGTGGGTTCCGCCGTGCTCCTGTGGCGTCTGCCGTGCTCCTGTGGCGTCTGCCGGGCTCCTGTGTGGTCTGCCGTGCTCCTTTGTGGTCTGCCGTGCTCCTGTGGAGTCTGCCGTGCTCCTGTGTGGTCTGCCGTGCTCTTGTGGTCTGCCGTGTCATTTGGGATTTGCCGTGCTCATGTGGGGTCTGCCGTACTCCTGTGTGGTCTGCCGTGCTCCGGTGGTCTGCCGTGCTCCTTTGGGGTCTGCCTTGCTACTGTGGGGTCTGCCGTGCTCCTGTGTGGTCTGCCGTGCTCCTGTGAGCTGTGAGCTGCGGGGCCTATGAAGGCTAAAAGGAGCCCGAGGCCCACAGAGCCCGTTGGCCCCAGGGCCTCAAGGGCCAACCCTAGGGGCCCCAAGGGAGCCGCCAGGGGGAAGGGCGCGAAGCGCCAAATGCGCGAAGCGCACGATTTCAAAGACATCAGAAGGCAGCGGGGCTGCGGCGCAATTCACGCCAGACAGAGCCGCCTCGCTGCAACAGCAATGCGGGGCAGAAGATGCTGCCTCACGCACACGCCAAAAGAGGTGACGGGGGGCAGATGCAACAGGAGGAGGAAAGTGATGCAGCATCACTCCCCCTCGTCACCTTCAGCGCGACGGCGCCTCTTGCGCCTGTCTTCGCGCGCCGTCTCTGCTGCGGCTGACCACTCGAGGAGGCTCGCTTCGTCGAGCCCGTAGGCGCTAAGCCACGCCTCCCTCGAGGCCCCCGAGGAGTCAGGCGCCAAAGGCTCGGCCTCCGCCTCACCTGCGGCCGCCGCGCCGCTGGGGGGCCCTCGGCAGGCGTCGGCGGCCACGCCGCCAGGTGCATCATCGGGGCGGACACCCAGCCACTCCAGGAAGCGCACCCTGGCGGCCATCGGCACCACGTCCTCCTTGCGCAAGCTGGGCACAGACGCACCGACCCTCTTGCTGCCGCTGTGGGGCGTGCCAGCAGGGTGCCGCCCCTGCATCCAGCGCGCCTTCTGGTCTCTCCTGCCCTTGGGAAGCCCAGCCGACCCTGGGCACTGCTCCTTGAGCTTGGGCGCCGCACCTGAGCGCCCGCCCAGCCGCGCGTACGCCCCGCAGTGGGTGCACGCCATCAGCTCCTGCTCGGCTGCGCCCTCCCGATAGTTATAGTCGTGTGGCTAGCATATAGATAGTCTCCGCGAGCAAGTAGCTGCTTTCGTTGCACCCCTGGGGTGTTCCTCCCCCCCGCTGTTGTTTTTCTTTCCTTCTTCCCCTCTATTCTCTTTCCTTTTTCCTATTCCTTCTCCCGTTTCCTTCTCTCCTTCTTTTTTTTTTTTTTTTTCTTTCCCTTTTTTTTCTTTTTTCTTTCTGTTCTGTACTTGTTTTGTTTTATTTTCTGTTTCTTTGCGTAGGCCAGGACGTGGCCGACGACGACGAAGGCCGTCGCCCCGAGGGAGACGCCACCAGCGCGCGCCGCCGATGCCCACCCGTCGCCCGAACCCAGGTCGGGCGGGCGGCTGCTGGCGGGCTCCACCACTGGCACAGCGAAGGAGACGGCCGCCCGCTCGCTGCCCTCGGGGAGGCCCTCGCAATCCTTGACCTCGATCCCCTGCCAGATGAGGGAGGCTTGCGCCACCCAGCAAGAGAGCTCCCTCACCACCTCCATCGTGCCAAAGAACTCGCGCCTGGCCACTGGGCTGGTACGGTGGAGCTCCGCCCCCGCCTTGGCCCAGCGGTCTGCATGTCCGTTGCCACGGAGGTCCGCCTCCGTGATCTTGCCATCCATCACGTCTCTGGCGGTGCAGTGGGCTGCCACTTTGGTCACCTTGAGCGTGTCCACGTCCAGCGACGCGTAGATCCCCTCCCAGAGATAGGCGTTGGGCTTGTTGGCTGCCGTCGCGTACTTCTTACCCAACGTGAGGCAGCTGACCGTGGACGCACAATCGATGAGGATCTCGTCAACGCTCGGGCCCAGAAAGCGAGACAGCATCCAGACCGCGAAATCCTCGCCGTCCTTCGCCGTCTGGAACGGGCAGAGGTCCTGGCGCACGCTGCCGTACACCGCGCACTCCATGTTGCCGTCGGAGTCGCACTGCACGATGCTCCAGCCCGCACGCCGCAGGCTCTCGTGCTCGGGGTCGAGCGCCGACCCATCCAGGTAGAGCCGCCCCCCGAGAAGACCGTCGGCGGGGCGATTGCACCACATGACTGCCATGGCGTCCGACCTCGGGGCGGCCCTCGGGGGCTGAGGGAGCCAGCAGTGCGCGAAACATTCACCCGCCTCCTCGCCACGACAGCGTGCACGATGCGCACAGCGCCGAAGGCGGTCAGAGGTAGAGTCACGCCTGGCCCCCGCAAGGACAGGACACTCGAACAGCCTGTGCCAGAGGCTGCCGCGGGGGGCCTCACAGGCACAGCAGCGAGCGTGCTCCCTCTCTCCCGCCGAGTGCAGACGGGTCTGGGGCCAGTGGGCGTTGGAAAGGAAGCTCACCACAGCCGCCTTCTCCCTGTGGCTGAGCTTGCTGCCAGGCCCGAGGACCTCCGCGAAGGCCTCCCAGAACAGGGCCGACTGGGGGAGCGCACCGTGGCCGAGGCGGGCCAGCTCCGACTTGTCCGACGCTCGCCGTGCCCCTGCCGCAGCCAGCATGCCCAGCTCGCGCGGCCCCAACATGCGCAGGTCCAGGAGATGGCCGTCGTCGGTTGCGAGGCGGGCTCCTTGAACAAGCCTCCAGCCCACCCTGGAGAGCGAGAGGGCCAGGGCATCCACCGGCGTGCGGCAGTGCGCCCAAGGGGCTGCTGCTCCCGCGTGCCTCTGCACTGCCTCCTGCACGGCCGACTCGAACATACGCAGCGGGACCTCCCCCGACTGGAGGAGACTGGCCGCCATCTGCACCGCGGCACGAAGCAGCGCGGGGCTCGGGTCAAGGTCGATGGACTTCATGACCTCCACCACTCTGAGTCTCAACCCGAGCGAGGCCCCCTTAGGGAACTTCCCAGCTGAGCGCACCGCCGCCAAGCGCCACGAATGCAGCTCCCTATCAGGAACACCAGTCACAGTGCGCCCCCACAGCATCGCCGCGGCGGGCCCAGCACGATGGACCATCTCGGTCGCCGCGCCAGCTGAGCGAAGCACCCCTAGCCTGCGTCCTCGGCGAAGGCCGCCGACCGCACGCACAGCTCCTTCATGAACTCCACGGCGGGTGATGTTGGCGTCGGTGCCGAGGTTCCTCGCCTGGAGTCCCCTCTTGAAGGTAAAGCCATGCACCGCCCAGGCCTCGGAGAGCTCCTTGGCGAGCTGTGGCGACGAGGCCAGGAAGACCGACTTACTCTCGTTGAGTGGGAGGTGCTGCTCACGCAGCTGGCGGATCACTTCACAACTGGCGGCCACCATCTGCAGCTTCACGAGCCGAGCCGTGCCGACCGCCTGGAGCGAAATGTCGTCGACCACATTCCTCGGCGTGACCAGCGGGCTCGTCGCCCCCGCTGCCAGGAGGGCTCCCAGTACTGGGAGCTTCGCAACTGCTGTCGCACATGCACACCCCGCCAACACCGTTCCCGTAGTGCCGAAGGCGGGGGAGGCCATGCCCGCCGCGAGGATCATCCTAGGGGCCTGGTAGGACGTGAGGAGGCCACGCAGCAACCTGAGGTTGAACCCGAAACGTACCGCATTCGCCCAGAGAACGTCGTGCCGCACGTGCTCGTAGAACTTGCTGATGTCCAGGAAGAGGCTCGCGGCCTCGAACTGCAGGTTCGACTTCGCGAACCCCGCGAAACAGTTGTGCAGCCAACCAGCCCTCTCACAGTCCCGCCCATCACGTACCAGAAGAAGGGGAAGTTGTGGTCCGCCTCCCAGCGCGCACAGCACGGTTGGCGGAGGCGCGACCAGAGCCGCAGGACCAACGGCAGCAGCGCTATGGGCCTTACCCCACCGTCTGCCTTCGGAATGAACACCATCAGGGAGACCTGCCCGTGGATCGACGCAGGGGCCTCGTCGTAGGCCGCCAGGATGTCCAGGATGCGCAGCTGCAGCGCCACTGGCAGAAGGAGGATCTGCCGAGGGTGCAGGGAGTCGCACCCGAGGCCCACCGAGGGGCTGTAGCGTTTGCAGGCTGCCTGGAGCTGCTCCAGCGAGGTGGGGGGCAGCTGCCACTCGCCCACGTCCCAGCTGCTGGCCCCTGCGCCCGAGGCAAACCCGTCCTGGAGCCACAGCTTCTGCCAGACACTCGTGAGTTCACCAATCGCTGCCATACCAACGAGCCTCCTGCCCGAGTCAGCGTCCCTGACCGTCGGCGGGGGCGTCGCCTTCGAGAAGCGGTGGGCCAGGCGACCGCCCTTCTCGACCGCTGTCTGGGCCCAGCTGCGCCAGGCCTGGGCGCTTTGAGCCGCATCACGGCGCTGCGAAGCACTGAGCAGCCCTTGGAGGTCCCGAACTGCCTCAGGGCTGCCAGGACGCCCGCCTGGTACACCAGGTCGCCCAACCGCTCAGGAGCAGCACCAGGAAGACCCTGACCGACCGAGTCGTCCGCCTCCTGCACCGCCTCCAGCAAGAGCTGCGCCCTGAGCTCGGCCTGGTGCCCGTGCCAGTCCGCATGCCGAGGGTGCCATCGGCCAGTGCTCTCTGCGCGCACCCGCTGGAGGGCCACGTCCAGGCAACTCCTTAGGCGGTGCGTGAGGAGGCTGAACCTGAACCTGGCGTCACGCCTGACAAGGGCGCTGAGAGGCTTGAGGGTCAGCCTCGGCCCCTCTCCTCTTCCGAGATGACGGGCCAGGTCAGCCTGGCCGATGCCGTGGATGCCGACCAGGGTGCCTTCTGCGGCCGCCGCCCACTCGCCGAAGGCAACGGAGAGGTTGGTCGGAGTGGAGCCCGCGTCCCAGGACCACGAGACCTCCCTGGACGTGACCTGCCCTTTCTTGCCAACCGAGTAACGCACAATCTCCGCGTCCTCGTGTGCCCGAAGGAGCTCAGGGGCTACTTCGGGGAAGCGGGCGGGCCTGGACGGAACCTCAACCAACGCATCTGCCCGAACATCCTGTAGGCGAAGTAGGACAGGGCGATGAGGGTGCAGACCAAAGCCCTCGAGCGTGGTGGCGCAGGAGGCCGTGCAGGCAGCCAACGCCGCAGAAGCCACGAACCAGTCGTAGAGGTGGTCACAGCCCTCGGCATGGCACGTCGCCTCCGAGGGCCCCAGGACGTGCCCCCGCACCGCCGCGGGCCACCCCAACTCCTCCAGGGGCTCGGGCTCCATGTTGAAGTCCGCTTGAAGGACCCACGGGATGTCTGCAGAGGAGCCCGTCACCTCGGAGATAGCCGAAAACAAGTCCAGGTTGGTGCCTCGAGGACCCAGAGAGTGCTGAAAATAACCAGCGAGCACCAGAAGCCGAAGGCCCGAAGCGGCGGCAATCTCCACTCCGATGAGGCGGTGCCGCAAAGCCGAGGGCAGCGGGGCCGCAGACTCATCGGCCTGCAAGCCGTCCCGCACCAGGATTGCCACGCCGCCTGAGGTCGCCAGGGGCCCCTGCTTCTCCGTCAACACTGCCGCGTGTAGGAAGGCCGCGTACCCCAGGCCTCGGGCCTGAGCCGCCGCACTGGGCAGGCGCTCATGCGGGAGCCTCGTCTCCTGCAGCGCCACAACGTCGGGCCAGTAGTCGTACGCCTTGAAGAAGGCTTCAATGACCTCAATGCTCCTGCTCCAAGTATTGCCATTGCAGCCGAGCAAGACAAGGCCAGCTCGGAGCTGCTGGCCTCCTGCCCTGACAAACAGCGGCGCCTTGCCGATGACGGCAGCCTCGCGAGCCGCGCGCTCCTCAACGCCAGGCTCCATATCCGCCGAGCCCCTGGTCGCGGGGCCCTCCGCCCCCACCAGGACTGGAGGGGGGACCTGGCCCCACGCTCCAGCGCTCCTAGACGGCGTCGGCGGGCAGCTCGCCTGCACGGGTGGTGGCCACCGCTGGGGAGGCGGCCGTCCCTCCGCCCCTCCGGTAGCGAGCGGGGGGTGCGCCTGCCCTTCACCAACGGGGCCAAGAGCTGCGACGTCGTGGGGCTGAATCCCACCGCTCTCGGCCCCTGACTGGCCGTCGGGGGGCCACCTCGGTGTTCCCGACCGCGCCAGCTGGCTACTTCGGGCAAGGGCCTTGGGCGCCGCCCGCCGCCTGCGAGGGGCTCTGACGCGCCAGCGGCCGTCGCAGCGCCTCCTCCACCTGTCCCAGCAGCTGGGCCCACGAACTGTGGAGGCTTGCCGCTCCAGTCCTCCTGCGTCACCCACGGCGCGGCCCGTACCCTGCAGCAGGAGCCACAACAGCAGCCGCAGCCACCAAGGGGTCGCCGTCCGAGATGGCCGCCCCTTGCTCGGCGAGGGCCTTGGCGAGGCAGGGCTCCACCTGGGGCCATGCACCCAGAGTCGCTCCGTGCTGGCCACGGGCCACTGCGGGCCCGTAGGGTCCGTCCGCAGACCTGGCCCGCGGGGCGGGCGGCCCAGCCGCGGACTGCCCCGTCCGCGGGGCGCCAGGGGAGGGGGCGGCCACGGGCCCACCTGAGGACACGATGTCGAGCGGCATGTCATCGTCCTCAGTCGCGAGGCCGTCGTCGCCAACGCTGTCGCCCCAGCGCTTCCAAGGCCGAGCTGCTGCTGGGCCTAGAGCACGTCAGCGACCCGCTTCCTGTCTGCGTGTTGATAATTCAAGATTCTCCGAAACCTGTGCAGCACAGCCCGTGCTTTGCTTGAGAGGTCCGACAGGGCCCCAACCTTATATCAGGCCCCCTGAACATGCTGATTCCCCCGAGCGGGCTCGGCACACCTACCGACTGCCGCGTTGCCCTCTAGTATCGCCTTCTTCGTGACCTTGGCCCCCCAACCACTGCCTTGGTCTCCTCCAGCTCAGCAATCTGCCCAGTGACTTCATCAACTCCCAACTCGGCCGCAGACAGCTGCTCCTGCTTCTCCGCAATGAGGTCGCGCAGCTCAGCCGCCTGCAGCTGGAGCTTCTCCCTCTTGGTGCGGGCAGTGGCCAACTGACGCTCGACCTTCTGGATGGCGTTGGCCTCGATGTGGAAGACCGAGTGGGGCGGGCGCCCCGTCCGCTGGGCCTCCTGGGCCGACTGCTCGAGGGCGGCGACCTGGTCCCTGCCCTGCTGGAGGGCCTTCTCCGCCTCTCGCTGGAAGTCCTCCGAGAGCCCGAGCGCCGCGGCCGCCTGGAGCTTGTCGACCCGCTCCTTGGCCGCCACGAGCTGCGCCTGGAGCTCATCGTACTGAGACTTGGCCTCTCCCCAGGAACGCCCACGCCGTGTCCTGCTGTTGGGGGAGCTGCTGGGTGCCGTGCTCCCTGAGAGGGCCCGCTGGGAGGCGGAGCGCCTCGCAGCGCGCTGGTCAGCTCTTCCCCTGGGCTGCTGCACGAACCCGTCGGCATCCACCCGAGGGGAGACCTTGTCGGAGCGGTACTCCTTCGTCCATGGGGGAGCGCTGGTGCCGCACGCCTTGCACGTCCAACGCTTGTCGCACCAATTCCAACGTTGCAGCCTCCTTAGCACACAACCATAACCTCCGACGAGCCCCGAGGCGAAACCTCCAGACATGGCGGCCACCGAGGACTGCCGCACTTGGCCGAGACACTCGCCCTCAGAACGAAGAACACCCCCTCGTGAACTTCTGGCTCGAGCAGACGCACCAACCTCTCCTCAAAAGCGGCCGTGCTCGCTTCCGTTCGGTGCGCCAGGTTCGCCATCCCATGACCAAAATTATTTTAGAGATCTTGTGTGGTCTGCCGCTCCTGTTGGTTCTGCCGTGCTCTTGTGGTCTGCCGTGCTCATTTGGGATTTGCCGTGCTCATGTGGGGTCTGCCGTACTCCTGTGTGAGCTGTGAGCTGCGGGGCCTGTGAAGGCTAAAAGGAGCCCGAGGCCCACAGAGCCCGTTGGCCCCAGGGCCTCAAGGGCCAACCCTAGGGGCCCCAAGGGAGCCGCCACAGGGGAGGGCGCGAAGCGCCAAATGCGCGAAGCGCACGATTTCAAAGAAATCAGAAGGCAGCAAGGCTGAGGCGCAAATCACGCCTAACATGCCCGCCTCGCTGCAACTGAGACGCGGGGCAGAAGATGCTGCCTCACGCACGCGCCGAAAAGAGATGACGAGGGGCGGATACAACAGGAGGAGGAAGATGATGCTGCATCACTCCCCTTCGTCACCATCAGCGCGGCGGCGCTTCCTGCGCCTGTCCTCGCGCGCCGTCTCTGCTGCGGCTGACCACTCGAGGAGGCTCGCCTCGTCAAGCCCGTAGGCGCCAAGCCAAGCCTCCCTCGAGGCCCCCGAGGGGTCAGGCGCCAACGGCTCAGCCTCCGCCTCACCTGCGGCCGCCGCACCGCTGGGGGGCCCGCGGCAGGCGTCGGCGGCCACGCCGCCAGGTGCATCCTCGGGGCGGACACCCAGCCACTGCAGGAAGCGCACCCTAGCGGCCATCGGCACCACGTCCTCCTTGCGCAAGCTGGGCACAGACGCTCCGACCCGCTTGCTGCCGCTGTGGGGCGTGCCAGCAGGGTGCCGCCCCTGCAGCCAGCGCGCCTTCTGGTCTCGCCTGCCCTTGGGAAGTCCAGCCGACCCTGGGCACTGCTCCGTGAGCTTGGGCGCCGCGCCTGAGCGCCCGCCCAGCCGCGCGTACGCCCCGCAGTGTGCAACGCCATCAGCTCCTCTCGCGCGCCCTCCCCCACTTGCGTAGCCAGAACTGGCCGACGACCGACGAAGGCGCTCGCCCCAGAGACCGGCCATTGACCGACTGCCGCCACGCCCAACCGCCGTCGCTTGAACACGGGTCGGGAGGGCGGCTGCTGGCGGGCTCCACCACTGGCACTGCGAAGGAAACGGCCGCCCGCTCGCTGCCCTCGGGGAGGCCCTCGCAGTCCTTGACCTCGATCCCCTGCCAGATGAGGGAGGCTTGCGCCACCCAGCAAGAGAGCTCCCTCACCACCTCCATCGTGCCAAAGAACTCGCGCCTGGCCACTGGGCTGGTACGGTGGAGCTCCGCCCCCGCCTTGGCCCAGCGGTCTGCATGTCCGTTGCCACGGAGGTCCGCCTCCGTGATCTTGCCTTCCATCACGTCTCTGGCGGTGCAGTGGGCTGCCACTTTGGTCACCTTGAGCGTGTCCACGTCTAGCGACGCGTAGATCCCCTCCCAGAGGTGGGCGTTGGGCTTGTTGGCTGCCGTCGCGTACTTCTTACCCAACGTGAGGCAACTGACCGTGGACGCACAATCGATGAGGATCTCGTCAACGCTCGGGCCCAGAAAGCGAGACAGCATCCAGACCGCGAAATCCTCGCCGTCCTTCGCCGTCTGGAACGGGCAGAGGTCCTGGCGCACGCTGCCGTACACCGCGCACTCCATGTTGCCGTCGGAGTCGCACTGCACGATGCTCCATCCCGCACGCCGCAGGCTCTCGTGCTCGGGGTCGAGCGCCGACCCATCCAGGTAGAGCCGCCCCCCGAGAAGACCGTCTGCAGGGCGATTGCACCACATGACTGCCATGGCGTCTGACCTCGGGGCGGCCCTCGGTGGCTGAGGGAGCCAGCAGCGCGCGAAACATTCACCCGCCTCCTCGCCACGACCGCGTGCACGATGCGCACAGCGCCGAAGGCGGACAGAGGTAGAGTCACGCCTGGCCCCCGCAAGGACAGGACACTCGAACAGCCTGTGCCAGAGGCTGCCGCGGGGGGCCTCACAGGCACAGCAGCGAGCGTGCTCCCTCTCTCCCGCCGAGTGCAGACGGGTCTGGGGCCAGTGGGCGTTGGAAAGGAAGCTCACCACCGCCGCCTTCTCCCTGTGGCTGAGCTTGCTGCCAGGCCCGAGGACCTCCGCGAAGGCCTCCCAAAACAGGGGCGACTGAGGGAGCGCACCGTGGCCGAGGCGGGCCAGCTCCGACTTGTCCGACGCTCGCCGTGCCCCTGCCGCAGCCAGCAGGCCCAGCTCGCGCGGCCCCAACATGCGCAGGTCCAGGAGATGGCCGTCGTCGGTTGCGAGGCGGGCTCCTTGAACAAGCCTCCAGCCCACCCTGGAGAGCGAGAGGGCCAAGGCATCCACCGGCGTGCGGCAGTGCGCCCATGGGGCTGCTGCTCCCGCGTGCCTCTGCACTGCCTCCTGCACAGCCGACTCGAACATACGCAGCGGGACCTCCCCCGACTGGAGGAGACTGGCCGCCATCTGCACCGCGGCACGGAGCAGCGCGGGGCTCGGGTCGAGGTCGATGGACTTCATGACCTCCACCACTCTGAGTCTCAACCCGAGCGAGGCGCCCTTAGGGAACTTCCCAGCTGAGCACACCGCCGCCAGGCGCCACGAATGCAGCTCCCTATCAGGAACACCAGTCACAGTGCGCCCCCACAGCATCGCCGCGGTGGGCCCAGCACGATGGACCATCTCGGTAGCCGCGCCAGCTGAGCGAAGCACCCCTAGCCTGCGTCCTCGGCGAAGGCCGCCGACCGCACGCACAGCTCCTTCATGAACTCCACGACGAGTGATGTTGGCGTCGGTGCCGAGGTTCCTCGCCTGAAGGCCCCTCTTGAAGGTAAAGCCATGCACCGCCCAAGCCTCGGAGAGCTCCTTGGCGAGCTGCGGCGACGAGGCCAGGAAGACCGACTTACTCTCGTTGAGTGGGAGGTGCTGCTCACGCAGCTGTCGGACAACTTCACAACTGGCGGCCACCATCTGCAGCTTCACGAGCCGAGCCGTGCCGACCGCCTGGAGCGAAATGTCGTCGACAACATTCCTCGGCGTGACCAACGGGCTCGTCGCCCCCGCTGCCAGGAGAGCTCCCAGTACTGGAAGCTTCGCAACTGCTGTCGCACACGCACACCCAGCCAACACCGTTCCCGTAGTGCCGAAGGCGGGGGAGGCCATGCCCGCCGCGAGGATCAGCCTAGGGGCCTGGTAGGACGTGAGGAGGCCGCGCAGCAACCTGAGGTTGAACCCGAAACGTACCGCATTCGCCCAGAGAACGTCGTGCCGCACGTGCTCGTAGAACTTGCTGATGTCCAGGAAGAGGCTCGCGGCCTCGAACTGCAGGTTCGACTTCGCGAACCCCGCGAAACAGTTGTGCAGCCAACCAGCCCTCTCACAGCCCCGCCCATCACGTCCCCAGAAGAAGGGGAAGTTGTGGTCAGCCTCCCAGCGCGCACAGCACGGTTGGCGGAGGCGCGACCAGAGCCGCAGGACCAACGGCAGCAGCGCTATGGGCCTTACCCCACCGTCTGCCTGCGGAATGAACACCATCAGGGAGACCTGCCCGTGGATCGATGCAGGGGCCTCGTCGTAGGCCGCCAGGATGTCCAGGATGCGCAGCTGCAGCGCCACTGGCAGAAGGAGGATCTGCCGAGGGTGCAGGGAGTCGCACCCGAGGCCCACCGAGGGGCTGTAGCGCTTGCAGGCTGCCTGGAGCTGCTCCAGCGAGATGGGGGGCAACTGCCACTCGCCCACATCCCAGCTGCTGGCCCCTGCGCCCGAGGCAAACCCGTCCTGGAGCCATAGCTTCTGCCAGACCCTCGTGAGTTCGCCAATCGCTGCCATACCCACCAGCCTCCTGCCCGAGTCGGCATCCCTGACCGTCGGCGGGGGCGTCGCCTTCGAGAAGCGGTGGGCCAGGCGGCCGCCCTTCTCGACCGCTGTCTGGGCCCAGCTGCGCCAGGCCTGGGCACTCTGAGCCGCATCGCGGCGCTGCGAAGCATAGAGCAGCCCTTGGAGGTCCCGCACTGCCTCAGGACTGCCGCGGACGCCCGCTTGGTACACCAGGTCGCTCAACCGCTCAGGCGCAGCACCAGGAAGACCCTGACCGACCGAGTCGTCCGCCTCCTGCACCGCCTCCAGCAAGAGCTGCGCCCTGAGCTCGGCCTGGTGCCCGTACCAGTCCGCACGCCGAGGGTGCCATCGGCCAGTGCTCTCCGCGCGCACCCGCTGGAGGGCCACGTCCAGGCAACTCCTTAGGCGGTGCGTGAGGAGGCTGAACCTGAACCTGGCGTCCCGCCTGACAAGGGCGCTGAGCGGCTTGAGGGTCAGCCTCGGTCCTTCTCCTCTGCCGAGATGACGGGCCAGGTCAGCCTGGCCGATGCCGTGGATGCCGACCAGGGTGCCTTCTGCAGCTGCCGCCCACTCGCCGAAGGCAACGGAGAGGTTGGTCGGAGCAGAGCCCACGTCCCAGGACCATGAGACCTCCCTGGACGTGACCTGCCCCTTCTTGCCAACCGAGTAACGCACAATCTCCGCGTCCTCGTGTGCCCGAAGGAGCTCAGGGGCTACTTCAGGGAAGCGGGCGGGCCTGGACGGAACCTCAACCAACGCATCTGCCCGAACATCCTGTAGGCGAAGTAGGACAGGGCGATGAGGGTGCAGACCAAAGCCCTCGAGCGTGGTGGCACAGGAGGCCGTGCAGGCAGCCAACGCCGCAGAAGCCACGAACCAGTCGTAGAGGTGGTCACAGCCCTCGGCATGGCACGTCGCCTCCGAGGGCCCCAGGACATGCCCCCGCACTGCCGCGGGCCACCCCAACTCCTCCAGGGGCTCGGGCTCCATGTTGAAGTCCGCTTGGAGGACCCACGGGATGTCTGCATAGGAGCCCGTCACCTCCGAGATGGCCGAAAACATGTCGAGGTTGGTGCCTCGAGGGCCCAGAGAGTGCTGAAAATAACCAGCGAGCACCAGAAGCCGAAGGCCCGATGCTGCGGCAATCTCCACTCCGATGAGGCGGTGCCGCAATGCCGAGGGCAGCGGGGCCGCGGACTCGTCGGCCTGCAAGCCGTCCCGCACCAGGATCGCCACGCCGCCTGAGGTCGCCAGGGGCCCCTGCTTCTCCGTCAACACTGCAGCGTGTAGGAAGGCCGCGTACCCCAGGCCTCGGGCCTGAGCCGCCGCACTGGGCAGGCGCTCGTGCGGGAGCCTCGTCTCCTGCAGCGCCACAACGTCGGGCCAGTAGTCGTACGCCTTGAAGAAGGCTTCAATGACCTCAATGCTCCTGCTCCAAGTATTGCCATTGCAGCCGAGCAAGACGAGGCCAGCTCGGAGCTGCTGGCCTCCTGCCCTGTCATCCAGCGGCGCCCTGCCGATGACGGCAGCCTCGCGAGCCGCGCTCTCCTCAACGCCAGGCTCCATGCCCGCCGAAACCCTGGTCGCGGGGCCCTCCGCCCCCACCAGGACTGGAGGGGGGACCTGGCCCCACGCTCCAGCGCTCCTGGACGGCGTCGGCGGGCTGCTCGCCTGCACGGGAGGTGGCCACCGCTGGGGAGGCGGCCGTCCCTCCGCCCCTCCGGTAGCGGGCGGGGGGTGCGCCTGCCCTTCACCAACGGGGCCGAGAGCTGCGACGTCGTGGGCTAATAAAAATCCCGACCCTCTCCCCCTGACTGCGTCGGGCCACCCTCGTGTTCCCGACCGCGCACTGGCTACTTCGCGGGCAAGGACTTTGGCTCCGCCCGCCTCCTGCGAGGGGCTCTACGCGCCAGCCCGTCGCAGCGCTCCATCCACACTGTCCCACACTGGCCCACCCCACAACTGTGGAGGCTTGCCACACCAGCCCTCCTGCGTCACCCACGGCGCGGCCCGTGCCCTGCAGCAGGAGCCACGGCAGCAGCCGCAGCCACCAAGGGGTCGCCGTCCGAGATGGCCGCCCCTTGCTCTGCGAGGGCCTTGGCGAGGCAGGGCTCCGCCTGGGGCCACGCACCCAGAGTCGCTCCGTGCTGGCCACGGGCCACTGCGGGCCCGTAGGGTCCTTCCGCAGACCTGGCCCGTGGGGCGGGCGGCCCAGCCGCGGACTGCCCTGTCCGCGGGGCGCCAGGGGAGGGGGCGGCCACGGGCCCACCTGAGGACACGATGTCGAGCGGCATGTCATCGTCCTCAGTCGCGAGGCCGTCGTCGCCAACGCTGTCGCCCCAGCGCTTCCTGGCCGAGCTGCTGCGGGGCCTGAGCACGTCAGCGACCGCTTCCTTCTGCGTGTTGAGAATGTCGACGATCTCCGAGAACCTGGGGGGCAGCTCAGCCCCGTGCTGCTTGAGGAGGTCCGACAGGGCCCCAACCTGAGTGAGCAGCCCCTGGACAGCGTCCCCGAGCGGGCTCGGCACACCACCGACTGCCGCGTTGGCCCTCTGGATCGCCTGCTGCGTGACCTTGGCCTTGGTCTCTTCCAGCTCAGCAATCTGCCCAGTGACTTCATCAACTCCCAACTCGGCCGCAGACAGCTGCTCCTGCTTCTCCGCGATGAGGTCACGCAGCTCAGCCGCCTGCAGCTGGAGCTTCTCCCTCTTGGTGCGGGCAGTGGCCAGCTGACGCTCGACCTTCTGGATGGCGTTGGCCTCGATGTGGAAGACCGAGTGGGGCGGGCGCCCCGTCCGCTGGGCCTCCTGGGCCGACTGCTCGAGGGCGGCGACCTGGTCCCTGCCCTGCTGGAGGGCCTTCTCCGCCTCTCGCTGGAAGTCCTCCGAGAGCCCGAGCGCCGCGGCCGCCTGGAGCTTGTCGACCCGCTCCTTGGCCGCCTCGAGCTGCGCCTGGAGCTCATCGTGCTGAGACTTGGCCTCTCCCCAGGAACGCTCACGCCGTGTCCTGCTGTTGGGGGCGCTGCTGGGTGCCGTGCTCCCTGAGAGGGCCCGCTGGGAGGCGGAGCGCCTCGCAGCGCGCTGGTCAGCTCTTCCCCTGGGCTGCTGCACGAACCCGTCGGCGTCCACCCGAGGGGAGACCTTGTCGGAGCGGTACTCCTTCGTCCATGGGGGAGCACTGGTGCCACACGCCTTGCACGTCCAACGCTTGTCGCACCAATTCCAAGCGTTGCAGCCACGCTTAGCACACAACCAGTAAGCCCTCCGAGCGAGCCCCGAGGCAACCTCCGACATGGCGGCTCACCGAGGGACTGGCCGCAGCTTGGCCGAGACACTCGGCCCTGCAGGAACGAAGAAGCACAAAATTGGCGAAGCTTCTGGCTCGTGGCAGAGCGCCCCTCGCGCTCAAGAACGCCCGACGGACTCGCGGTCGTCTCCTATGGTTCAGCCGTTGTTCGGGCCGTCTTGAGGCACTCTTAGCATAGTCTGCCGTGCTCCTCGTCTTGGTCTGCCGTGCTCCTCGTCTTGGTCATCCTTTCCGTCGTCTTGAGGGCGCTCTTGGTGCCTGGTCTGCCGTGCTCCTCGTCTTGGTCTGCCGTTCTCCTCTCGGTTCCTAAGCCTGGTCTGCCGTCTCCTCGTCTTGGTCTGCCGTGCTCCTCTCGGTCCTACGCGCGTCTGCCCGTGCTCCTGTGGGGAGCACGGCAGACCACAGGAGCACGGCGACCACACAGGAGCACGGCAGACCACACCTGCGATTTTTTGAGGATGTCTCGAGCGAAATGGCCGTGGTCTGCCGTGCTCCACACAGGAGCACGGCAGACCACCTGCTCATTTTCTGAGGACGTCCCGAGCGAAAACGTCATTTTTAACATAAGAGGTTCTAAAACACCTCTGTCGGCATCTCATTTTTTCGAGGATGTCTCGAACGAAACGCTCATTTTTCATGCATAACAGAATTTTTTGATATTTTTCAACATCCAGATTTTTTGAGGATGTCTCGAGCGAAACCGTCATTTTTAACATAAGACGTCTGAAACGATAGCCTCCAACACCTCGATTTGTCGAGGATGTCTCGAGCGAAATGGCCATTTTGGGGAATCCGCCAACGAAAACTCCCGTGCGATCCCGCAACCCATAGATATAAAGATATATATATATATATATATATATATATTTACTCAAGGATTCAGCCAGAACGTCCCGCTTGCTTCTCGTACCTCGAAGACGCTTCCCGTCATCCGCCAACGAAAACTCCCGTGCGGCCCGCAACCCATAGATATAAAGATATATATATATATATATATATATATATATACTCAAGGATTCAGCCAGAACGTCCCGCTTGCTTCTCGTACCTCGAAGACGCTTCCCGTCATCCCGTGCAGCGCGGCAACCCATATAGTTAAAGAAAAGATATATATTTACTCAAGGATTCAGCCAGAACGTCCCGCTTGCTTCTCGTACCTCGAAGACGCTTCCCGTCATCCGCCAACGTGATGTTACTCTTCTCGTTCCCCTTCTCGTTCCCCTTCTCGTGCTGCTTATCCCCGGCTCCGTGGACGCCCCCCCCGAAGGATCCCGCGAAGCTCTTCTTAAGGCCGCACCTCCTGCACTTGCTCTTCCCCTTCAAATTCCAGTACTGACATGGGCACTGCCACCACTGCGACTCCCACCAGCCGCTGCTATGGCCGTTCCCACTCCATGCATTGCTTCCCCACCAGCCTTGCGACATGACCGTGATTTACCACGAATCTGTGAGTGAGGCGAGTAGAGTTCAATAATCGGACAGATCCCTCTGATCAACCCTTCACTTGACCCTTGACCCCTCCTCCTCCTCCTCCTCCTCCTCCTCCTCCTCCTCCTTCTCCTCCTTCTCTTTCCATTGACATGCAGGCGGCCCCCTGAGGGAACCGCCACATGAGACTCCGCCTCTTCCTTCGCCTCTGCCTTCGCCTCCTCCTCCTCCTCCTCGTCATCCTCCCCCTCCCCCTCCTCCTCCTCTCCCGCCCCTCGAAGACGGCGGCCCCGTCCAGCGATTCCGTAGAAAGCCCAGGTAGGGTCTACAAAGGACTCAGCGCGGCCAGGCACCCCTTGTCCCCCGTTTCGGCGAGGTTCCGGAGGGCGAGGGGGGGAAGGGTAGACGAGCGCGGCCGCTGCCCATGTCAATACTGCTGCCTTTGGGGAACACGCGTACTTGCTGCGAAACTTGTTCACATGGCTGAGATGTGGAAGACGGAGGAGGACGAGGAGGAGGAGGACGAGGGTAGAGGAGGAGGAGGAGGAGGAGGAGGAGGGAGAATCCTGCCAATGGGCGTCCTCGTGCGCGGGCAGTGCCGTACAACTGCGTGTGCGTATGTGTGTGTGATCGTTAGTGATGCCTTTTGTCCCAGCTGTGTGTTAAGTCATTGTCACACTTCGACCAGGCGATGACGTTTTCAGCAGATTACATACATGTGGTGCCATGTGGTTGTCGTTTGTGTTGGTCGGTACAAGACGTGGGTGTAGGGTGTAGGCCTGGTATGCACTCCCGAAAGGAGGTGTAGATGACGTCTTCCCTCCGTTTGTGCTTGCCCACGAATTATAGTCCGCGTTGTCGATGGTTGGTATCCGGTCGCCAGCACATGTGAAATACGCGTCGTTGTGTCAGCATCAGGTGTTGTCAGAGATGGTTGTGCTGACGTCAACGCTTCTGCGCCGTGTTGTGTTGTCGGGGCCACCTTGTTGCTGAAGAACCGCGTTCGGTGGGCGAAAGGGTAATGTTAGCTGGTCAATCCTTGTTTTCGACAAGTGAGCGCGGTTCTCGTGTGGTAGAGGATTTTCCTGCCCATTGAACTATCGAAATTGATCACTTGACCGAGGTGATTGAGACTGCCGCTGTCACGAACGATCTCGATGTCACTGCCCTGGACATGTCTTCTTCATAAGCTTGCCCTGCCTGTGCGTCGCGTGCGATTGCTCATGAACTTTGTTTTGCTCGGGTGTACATCAAGCCCGTGCTGAATGAATGCCTTCATGATGTCGTCAAGCATCGCACTGAGCCGCGGGAGAGGAGGAGGAAGAAGACCACCTGAACAGTCCTTGCCAACAAAGGTTGATCACAATGATTATTTAGCAGCGGGTGTCTTGTATTGCTTCACGCACCACGTGCGGAATGCATGGTTGTCACCTGCCGCTCTGAAGCGGAAACGTCGCTACCGCGGCGGCCAGACCGGGACACGTGGCTGGCAGCGCGGTCCCGCAGCGGACCTGTGGCCGGCGCTCGGGCAAGAGCTTCATCTCGAGAGCCTCCACGCCCCGAGCGCGCACCAGAGCTGAACGTCACCGCTGCCCCTGCGGCCAGCGAGCCACCGAAACACACAGGCAGCGGGCAGGGCGTCAGGTGCTGCCTGGCGCTGTGCGCATAGGTTAACGACCAAAGAGTCGAACCTATAGGTACGATGACCCACAGGGAGGTGGGAAGAGGGTAGCTGATCCTTTCCCAGGGCGCTGCTCGGAGAGCAGCGCGGTATGCGCACCAATACCTGAGCCGATACGTTAGCGGTACGTAATGATAGAATGGTGATATGAGCAGACTTCACACACAGGCGTCAGGTCAGGTGGGGGAGGCTTGTAGCAGCGAACCTCCGGTGGCCGAAGAAGTCGGGATCGCAGCGCGTTGGCCGTGTTCCGCGCCGCGCGGCGTTCGCCGTCGCTTGGACGCCCATTCCCGTGCGTGCTTTTGCTGGCCCGATGGTCGAGGATGCTCCTCGAAGGTCCTCGCCGAGAAATAGCGCACACGCCCGAGCGATGCCAAGGGCGGAGAGGAGTAAACCTGCACCCCCCCACACACCCGAATGCCGTGGGCTGTTTGACTCAATGCCCGTCGGAACCTTCCGGCGGCTTCCAAACGGGGGGCTCCTCCTCCCCCTCCGCCTCTGCCCATCCATCCTCCTCCTGCTCCCCTGCCCCATCCTCCCACGTCCGCCTTCGCCTCCCCCCCCCCGTGCTCGCGCTCCCGCGGGCGCAGGCCAGGCTGGGTTGGGGCCGCCCCGAGGGGAAAACCGCAGGCCCATCGTCGAGCGGGGATGGCGCCCATGGGGGCATCTGGCGGGCCACCCTCAAGAGAATCGAAGAATGAGTAACACTGTCGATGAGGACGCTATGCCTACCCCAAGGCCTTGCCTAGACGCTCTGGCGAAGCGATCAAACGAACTTGCCGAGCTGAAGCTGGCGGTGTCGCTCCAGCTCCCTTGCGAACGGATCGAGGATCGAGTGGAGGTTTTCGGGTGGCTGTTGTCCTTCGTGGGGGAGGCGGAGGTGGTCACCTGGTCTCCTCCAGCACCAGTGCGCATGTTGCTTTAGCCTCGGTGCGGCAGCAACGCCAACTTAGTGGTCAAAATGGATAGCCGACCTGTGGCAACAAGGAAATCTGCCTACCCCGTCAGCCCTGGAACTCGATCGGGCTTTGCCGAGGTAGCAGAGGAGCGAATATGCTTGAATTCCTGCCGCCAAAGGCGTCTGCCTCTGATCGACACGTTCATTCAGCCCTCCTGGTGGAACACAGCAAGGCCGAGCACGTGGCTGACGCGGCGAAATTCAAGGGCAACGCGCATAAACAATTACATACTACCGAACCCAAAGGGACCCTAGAGCCCGACAAGAACTTCAAAATAAACGTGAAGGCATTGGCACGGGGTGAATCCACCTCTGACTATAACCATAATCATACAAGCAAGGGTACGGCTTCGGGCTACCCCAGCTGCGTCAGACACATATCAGGGGGAATCGCCACCAGTATCGTCATCCTCACCATCCTCATCAGAGTCTTCAGACGCCGAAGCCCAATCACCGTCGTCATCTGTACGCTTCATCCGCACGTCCAGCAGCTCGGGCTGGATGTAGCTCACCGTATCATCGCGGTTTCGAAGCTGGGCTTCCTTTGGTACTTCTCTCCTGGGCAACACTTCGCAATCGACGTTGCTCATTTTGCGCGCGCTGCGCACCAAATAAAATAAACTCAGAAAACTTATAATAGCCGGACTGATTGGGACATCAGCGATGTAACGTGTGACGCTCCTGTTCATCAGATACCCAGTCATCAGGACGATGTACGTGGCCAAGCCGAGGTGCAAGTGGTAGAGCTGATCTTGAAAGATACCACCGCCGATATCGGACTTGCGGGTTTCTGCGAATACGATGAGATGCCCGTACACGAACTTGCAGACGAGGAAGTGAACCGCAGCGTAGACGAGCAGTATTGGCTGAATCTGGCAATACACGATGCCGATCATCATTGTGTTGATCCAGCGTGCGCTACGAGAGCCGACCCCGTAGTCCGCCACCATGCCTCCGTGATGTGGGCGTGTTGCAGTGTGCACCTGCCGTCTGGGAGAGTACCTGTCGTGGCTTCTTCCAAGCCCAAGAGGGTACCACGAGGGGCTCAAGATGGGGAACTCGAACTGGCCCATGGAGCCATTCCCTGCAGCAGTGCCTCCCAAAGCCCAACCATGCCCCAAGAGACCCCCGATATGCCACCGAGAGGCCCAACTTAACAGGAGCTCTTGTGCAATGAATTTAGCGTGCTCGTCTTTGCGGACTTCCGGGGGCCCCAAACCAACAGGCCTCCAAAACTCCCCAAAACGGCCAAAAACTGCCCGCAACGCCCCCCAAGGCGGCCCGAGGAAGGAACCGAGACTTCCGCAAAGGTTGCCCGCCAAGGTAGCCTCCAAGACCACGACAGGCCCCAACGGGGTCCCCAGAGGCTCCCAAGGCACCCCCGAGAGACCCTAAGAGACCCGCGCGAGGCCCACGAGAGGTCTTCCAGATGCCCCTGCAAGCTCCCAACAGGTCCCCACAATGCCGCCACGACGGCTTTCACACGGCCCTCGAGATGCCCTGAAAGAAGGCCCAGCACGAGCCCCCCATAGCAGCTCGCAGGGGGAGGAGGGAGGAGAGGGACGAGGAGACGGAGCGAGGAGAGAATAATGAGGCTGCAGGCAAGGAGGGGGTGTTCAAGGCCCGCCGCAGTTCACCGCCCCGTCTGAGCGCGAGCGGGTCTTCGAGTAACCCTCCTGACAACTGCGATGCTGCACTGCTGCACTGGCAAGCTGGCGGGGCTTACCGGAAGTCGCTGGATAGTCTTGGTCCTCGGGCTCAGCCATCTTCTTGCCGTCTTTCTTGCCGTACACTGCGCGGAAACCAAGGTACTTCATGAGCGGCACGTGGCGAACCATGTTCAGAAGGTGGGTTGACACCTGCAGGATGATGAGCGAGACGTAGAAGTTACTGACGTTTGGCAGCTTGTCGGCGATTACAGTGGGGATCGATTCTGGTGCCTTCGCGAGAGCCTGCGCCGTCAAGATCGGATTGCTGCCAATCACCGACATGAACAAGACGAACACATATAAGAACCAGAAATACCATCTGTACAATAAGCCCTGTACGTACGGCTCGCTTGGGCATACCCAGAAAGTTTCGAAGATCAACCTGAAAATTGTGGGCAAGAAGCCGACGACCGTTTGGTAAACTAGGGGCCCTGCTACTGCCTGCAGGATACCTTTAGCCCACGCGAGCTCATCGAGGGTCTGCAGCCACCCCGAAAACGTGACAATACTGGTGATGACGAAAAGGAAAAAGAAAAAGATGAAGAAGATGGCACCGTAGCCCAGGAACGTGTAGAACTCCTGCCTGTCGGGGTCCTTACACAGGTTGTCGTAGTGGACGTGCTCTGGGTCCTGGGGGAGCAACACAAACACCGATCCCGCAACTCCCCAGGCCTCTCCAGATTAGATGCTCCCTCTGGGGACATTCCTGGAGACACTCGGTCCACTTGTGCGTCGAGGCTGCGTCGAACGTCCGTCGAGTTGGGTCGACCCTGAGTCGACCCTGAGTCGAACCTGAGTCGAACCTGAATCGAACCAGGGTCGAACCTGAGTCGAAGTTGAGTCGAACTTGAGTCGAACGTGAGTCGAACAGATCTGTCAGGTGGGCCCCGGGCAGGTCCCCCCCAAAGCGAGCATCTGATCCAGGGCCACGCTCTGGCCAGAAGCTCTAAGAGAGCTCGGGCGTGGCGACGAGGGCTCTCCAGGGCGAGACGCGTCAGGTCGGGCATGTCCTCCTACAGGCGAATTTCCAGGGACAAATCAAACATGGCTAAGCAATTTGCAAAACAGATCTAACACTGTCGACGAATCGCCCCCAGTGTCTACTTGTTCACTGGGTTCGAATCTTCCTCCTGTAGAAGGACGCGCCCGACTTCACAGCAGCGGCATCGGCATCGTTTTCCCTTCTCGGGGATCCGGGGTCGGCCAAGAGGGGGGCGTACAAGGGGGGGCGCCAATCATGGCCAGCGGCATGTGCGCGGCCAAGGGGGCGGGGGGCAGGGACGTGATGAGATATGAAGAGGCGCCATGAAATCTGAGGAAACATCATGGCACACGCCATGACATCCACCCCCCAGTCATCACCCCAATCTTTGCCGCCCCCGAGGCATGTCCGGCGGGAACGACATGACAAACTCGTCCGTGCGCTTCGTCACCCTCGCCGAGTACGCTGCCGCGACGCTGCTCTGGGACCGGAAGGTCACGAAGCCCGTCGACGTGTTGACGCCGCCAACTCGCTCGGCCTCCCGCAGGACCTTCTGGCGCTCCGCCTGGATCTGCTCGTCGAGCTTCCGCTCCTGCATCGGGCAGACGTGAGACTCGGGCTGGGTGGACTCGGGTTGGGTCCGACGGGGCCATCATGAAAATGACGGGACCCAAGCTGAAAGTTGACACGATATCCCGCTGCAAACATCCGACAAGAATCGGACCGTCAAAATCTAGGACGCGCTCATCAAAAACCGCCGACAAGCCCGAGTTCCGGCTTACTCGAGTCTGACGTTTCCCCGACTGCAGGACGAAGTCGAGATGAAGGGAAAGTCGGGTGAGGATGAATCGGGAATCTCTGGGATCTGGCGGCTCTGGAGGCCGTCTCGGGTGCCGCAGCCTTCACAAGAGCGTTCTGGAGCGCTCTGAGAGCGCCCTGGAATGGATTGATCCTCCCCCTGGCCCCGTCTGAGCTCCTCCTCTCCAAAGTACGTCTCGGCATCGCGCGACTCCCCTGTGCGCGTCTCCATGACGAGCTCCCGCTCACCTGGGCGGCGAGGAAGACCGGGCCTCCGCCGATACGATTTCTGGAATCTGGGCGCCTTTCCTCGGCCTCGGCCCCGGGGCCATCAAAGCGGACCCGGGGCGACATTAAAGGAATTAACCCCATGCCCACGATAATAATGTACCCCCCCCTTAAGTCGTTAGAGTTTTTTATCGTCGACCAATAAGAGTTTGGTCGGGGGCGCGGGGGCGCGGAGGCCGAACTTCATTATGCTGGCTCTGGCGGGCAACTTTTATTATCTCCCCGAAAACCCCGAAATTTATTATCGCTGGGGGTTTATTATCCGAGGTTTAGGGTTAAGGTAAGACTCGGCAAACACTCTCAGAGTTCTGCGCGGAGCTCCGAACATTCCCGATCATGCTGTCTCTAGCTCCTCGAGATAAACCATCCCCGCGGGAAGGGGTCGGACCTCCGGGGCCGCGCATTGAAAGACGTGGTCCCGTCGAATGTCTGGGAAGCGGGGGACCCTGCGCACGTCGTGCGGGGACAGCAAGCGACCATACATCGAGGACAAACCCTGGGGGATGTCTTGCGCACGCCAGCAATCGTCAGAACACAGAAACAAGCGTGGTACTGGTTGCGGTCGATGTGGGCGCCGCAGGGGGGCCAACTCGACCACAACCGCGACCCGAACGTTCATGTCGAGATCGAGGGGGCCAACTCGACCACAACCGCGACCCAAGCGTTCATGTCGAGATCGGTGGGGTCTCCCCCTAGGGGCCCTTCAGAAAAGTCCACTTAGCTGAGGTTGTGGTCCTTTGCCCCAGACCCCCGACGTCGTCTGTGCTTTTCGCAGCGCCGACCCCTGAAGTCTGGACCCCTTCCCCAGGACCGGCTCTTCCTCCTGAGCCGTCTCGTTGACGGCCCCGAGGCCCCAGAAGGACCCCCGGAGGCCGAACAAGGGCGAAACACCTCCCGCCGTGCTTCTGTCAGGAGGGAAAAAAACATCGTCGATTCCCCAGAAAATATGGGAAAATATGGGAAGTGGGGGGGAAGACAAAAGCCCCGAAAATGTAAGAAAATATGGGGAATCTTTTTATTTGTGCGTATTCATTTGTGTGTCCTGGGGCCCCTTCATTCTGGCACGATGCGAGGGGGTGCTGAGCTGCCCCCCAACGTTGTTTGTTCTTCCTGGGGGCTGCCCCCGGACGTCAGCACGGCGACCTCACGCGGCGGGCTCTGGCGGGCCGCCGCCGCCTAGTGGCGCACTCCGCGCGGGCAGGGGGCCCTCGCGCGGCGCACTCCGCGCGGGCAGCGTGCGCGCTCGGTGGCGTCCCTGCGCGGGTGGGCGCGGCTGCTTCCCTGCGCCCCGCTCGCCTCCCTCCTCCTGCTTGTTCTTGAAGGTTGCCTTCTTCCTCAGGGGAGCCACAGTCAGCACACAGCAGGAGCCCATCCGCAAGAGACCTTTCACAGGAAAAACCCATACCCCAGGACCCCGGGACGTCCACTGGTTTGTGGTGTGGGAGCGTCACGCTGTCCACGGTCAAACCATCGAAACCCAAGAGACCACGGGCACTCTGGAGGCAAGCTGTGTCTTGGCATGGATCTCCTCTGTAGGTGACCGACGTGAATGATGGCATGGGCCTGGAGGGAAAGAAGTCGGCACGTTGTAATGTCCACCAGGAAGCAAAAGCCAACAATCATAATGCCAAGTAGCGTGGCATACCTCGGGACCACCTGGGACCACCCACCCGAACCAACAGTTGTCTCTTGGCATGGGTCTCCACTGTAGCATCAGCTTTTCAAGTCCTCGCCGACGTCTTGGGTCCACGCCGGACCCCATTTCCCTGGCGCGCGGCGCGCGCTGGAGGGGTCCAGCGCAGATCCAAGAGAGCCGCGCGGAGCTCGGAGAGTTTCTGCAGGGCCCAACCCGAAGTCCCGAACTTCGGATCGGGGGGCGGTACGGGCTTCGTGGTGGGTTGGGGTGGTTTGGTGGGTGGTGATCAACGGTGCTTCCGATTTTCGCCTGTTTCCGTTTTCCCCATCGTGCTGTCTTCGTGCCGCCTGTATTACCAAACGGGATCGAAACGAAAACGGTCCACGAGATCGCGGAAGCACCGTCCAGGTCGAACCTTGAGCTTCTGAGTATATGTTTGTTTTTTCGTTTCCTCGATTCCTCTTGTTCGCCAGGCCGTCGCTCTTGGCAACCAGCTTCTTCAGGGTGCGCACCACCTTCACGGTGTGGGCGCTCTTGACTTCGTCCTCCGACAGCGTCTCTGCAAAGATCTCGAGGAGCTTGGCGTCCGACTGGTACTCTGCCGGGATGTTCTCGACCATCAGGGTGGTGGCCCTGGGCTCGGGCAGCGCCTTCATCCACGCGAAGCGCTTTTCCACGAAAGCCACCTCTGCGTCCGAGATGAGCCTGCACACGATGGCCACTACAATCCACACGATTCCGGCATGCGCCCACCAGAGGTAACTGTCGCTCTGACCAAGGTTAGCTGTGCCCAACTGGCTCAAGAAATCGAGGTCATCACTTCCTTCATCAACAAAGTAGTTGACTGGCACCGTGATGAAAATCATAGGAGCTGCGACGTACAGACATATCTTCAAGCAAAGATCTGGGAACTGGAGCGCCATCGTCTGATCAAGCCCGATGATCTTCCACAAATCCTTCAGTCTCGAAATCGAGGCAGTCGGCTTCACCCATCCGAAAATTGACGGAGGGACACTGACTGGCACGCGGTTCTTCCCCGCCATATTCGTCGTGTAGAACGTGACGATTTCGGGGAAGAGGTGCCTGAAGATCCGACGCCGCCCTCGTGGCGGCAGGCGTGCATCATCATCTGGCGGCTGTATGATCCGCACCACAAGAGGAAGAATCAACAACATTTCGGGAGCGGCCAAGAGGGGGGTGTCCAAGAGGGGGGGGTGCAAATCATGACCGGCGGCACGTGCGCGGCCCAGCGGGGGGGCCAGGGACGTAATGAAATAAGAATAGGCGCCATGAAACCTGGGGAGATATCATGGCCCACGCCATGATATCCCCCCCCCCTAGTCATCACCCCCCTCTTTTCCGCGCCCGAAAGAGGAAGAAGCAACAACATTAACGTAAGCTTTCGGAGCTCCGCGCGATCAGCGCCAGACCCCTCCTCGCCATCGCTCGGACGTTCATTTCCTGTGCTTTGTTCGGTTTCGTGCCTGGTTTTTTTCGCGAAATGATCAAGGATGCTCCTCGATGGTCCTCGCCGAAGGAGAAACGCACACGTCCGAGCGATGCCGAGCAAGAGGGAGAAACAACAGCAGTAACGCAAGCTTTCGGAGCTCCGCGCGATCGGCGCCAGACCCCTCACCCCGGCGCGCGGCGCGCGCCAAGGGGCGGCGCTGGAGGCGCCGCCAAGGGGGGGGGGGGCAAGGCGCTGGCCCGCGAAACCCCTGCGGAGCTCCAACCTCTTCTTTCGTGGAGCTTCTTTGAAAAGGGGCCCTGGGACACACAAGAAAAGACATATATATATATATATATATATATATATATATAAATATACACAGAAATAACCCGATTCCCTATATTTTCCGATAATTATGTTCTGGGCTTTTGTCTCCCCCCCCACTTCACCTATTTTCCTACATTTTCGGGGGAATCGACGATTCATTGTGCCTGTGTGTTTCTTTCTCTCCTGCTTCTTGGATCCGGCGAGGCCGGGCCCCGCGCGGTGTCCACGCGCTGCCGCCCGTGGCCGCCCGGTGCGCTGGGCGAGTCTGCGGAGGCCTCGCCACGCCGCCGCCCGTGGCAGCCTGCAGCTCTCGCCACGCCTGCCGCGCCACGCAGCCGACACCACACCACGTCAGGGGGGAGATCCGCAGTGCGACGGCTGCCTGTCTGGAGACCGCGCTGGCGAACACTTTTTCCTCGGACCACGTCGCGGTTAACCTGGCAGTTTTGCGCTGTTTGGTTCGCCGTAACTGCGCTCTCGCGTCGCCACCCTGGAGGATGGCGATTCTGCCGGCAGAACGGCCGCGAGGCGCGACGCCACGGGTGGGCCCAGCGCAGGTTCAAAAAATCCGCGCGCACCTCCGAAAACCCATGTTCACAATGCCGTGATCCAGATTTTGACCGTTCCCGTCGACGAAGCCCCCCTCCACCCGTTGAGTCCTACAACATGTTATCCGCCTGCGGCGGAATACGGCTCCCGACCACCCTACTTCTCCTTAACAAATTAGATTCATTGCGGTGTCAAACCTCACCCAGAGCGAGGGGTGTTTCCTCTTGCCGTTCTCCCCTCGGCAACTCAAGCAAACGCGCATGGCGTTGCTACGTCCGCTCTCCGGCGTGCTACTCGCGGCGCGTGCTCGCATTTGGGGCGCCCAGGTGCCACGCCAGATATGTCGTGGTGACAACTTGTGTGTGGGCCTTATTGCGAGTGACTCTGAGCGTGGGTGGTCTGAGTGTGAGCGAGTTGGAGCGTGAGTGGAACCAATTATGATTGCATCAGAATGTGAGTGAGTCCGGATGCAGTCAGTACGGGTGGATCTGAGTACGAGCGAGAGTGCGAGCGAATCTAAGTGGGAGTGGGTCTGAGTGGTGATCAAATCTGAATGTGTGCGAGTCAAAGTTTGGCCGTGCTCAATTCACATCTGACACTGTGCCGGGGCACGAGGTAGTCTGAGTATGAGTGATGCTGACGGTGGGCGAATCTGAGAGCGAATGAGTCTGAGCGTGAGTTCGTCTGGGCGCGAACCCTGGGGTGCCCTTGCCACTGACGGCTTGGGAGTGATGGCAACCAACGCCTCGCTTGAGACGTCCTCACAATCTGCTCCGAAATCAGAGGATGCTGGGGGGACAAAACAGGCAAACCGCCTGAGACATCTCCAACATCTGGGCGCGATATTTGAAATCTCATCACCCCTGGCAACTCCTCCCTGGGGTGCCCAAGTGCCGCACCTGCTATATCGCGGTGAGCAATGGACCACCAAAAAAGTCTGAGTGAGTCTGGATGCGGAAGAGCGTGTCGAACTGAAAGAGCTTGACAGCGTATGAGCGTGAATTTGGATCAGTTAAAGTTCGTCTGAGTGGGAGTACTCCGTGGATCTGGGCGACTCTGACTGAGTGAGGAAATGAGGTGGCTGAGTCTGCGTGAAAAGGAGTATGACGATGTGATGGACCATGTCAAGAAGAGCGGGTCGATGATGGGTCCCCCAGGCGGGGGACAAAGCTTTGAATACGAGGATCTGGGTGATATGGAAACGATGATGCGGACGAGAAGGAAGGAGGTCTGGAGGCGTCTACATAAATAGCAAGAACCCCGTCGTAGGATATGAAAAAAAAAACAACGGACCAATAAACCCACATGTTCGGTCGCGGGGGCCCCACACGTTCGGCCGGTGTTCGAAAGTGTGCATCCACTTGGGATGTTTACAAAAGCCTAGTCGACAGATAAACCCTAGAACGTGTCGAAGCCCTTCAAGACGACGCACGCGATGTGATGCGGGCCAACCGGGTTAATGCACACTCGGCCAGCACATGTCCTGGGGATCCCCGAAATGATTAATGCTAAGTGGCCAAGCGCGAAGATTCCACATTGTCGCACGCGCAATTAATTCTAACATCGAGTCCGCCCACACTCGTACTCCTTAAATCTCACTTGCGACGTTACAAACCCCCAATAAATCCCACTAGCACCCCAGGAAATACGTAGCACCCCGCAGTTGCAGATAAGAGTGAAGGGGCGGCGGGGACGTGAGCAGTCTGCGAGGCTGTAAAAAAACAAACCCGCCGCCGGCGCCCAATTCTAACAAATGACACAACGAGCTCGTCGCAGGGGTCGATGTTTCCGTTGGTCGCGGGCTGGGTCGCGTGTGGATCGCGTGCGGATCGCGGGTCAGGTCGCGGGTGGGTCGCGGTTGGATCGCGGTTGGGTCGCGGGAGGGTCGCGGGCCGGGTCGCGGGGAGATGACGACAACAAACAAACAACAACAAACACAACAGCAACGACAACAACAACAATACCAACAATAACAACAAACAACATCAACTACAACACCGCCACCAACGCCAACAGCAGAAGCAACAACAACAACGACAATAATTTTAATACTGTTCGCTCTAATCCGCTCGCGCGTCATTCCATATGCATATCCCACACCCTGGATGCCCGCCCTACTCGTCTTCGGTCGTACTACTTTTCGGGGAGTACATTCATTCCCTACCGCGCGTGGTTGGTGAAACCCTTGAAAACGAAGGGTGGCAGATAACGGGGGATAGTGAGGACGAAGCGATCGGAGGAAGGGAGGGGAGGGCAAGGAGGAGGGAGGACGATGCTTTGCGCTGCGAGTGGCGACGGAGCTTGCGCCACGGCTTGCGCCAGCCACTCCAACACAGGTTAACAATAAGTTTCGCACTGGGTCGCGCCATCAACAACGCCACGTACCACCCCGTTGACAAAACATATCGTGGATACCCCCACGGGGGGACGTGCAGCTGCGAACTACTGTCAGAAACAAATTTCGTGCAACCCTGGAAAGAAGCGGGATGTTGGGAAAGTGGGGCGAAAGGATAATGAGAACTGCAACCGTGTCGAGAGGAACGCGGGGATGTGGAGTGGATTGGGATGGAGTGGACAAGAGTAGGGCCTCAGGAGGAGGAGCGGCAAGGAGTGGAGAAGAGGAGCCAACAACAGCAACAACAACAATCCGCACCGCAGAACCTCACTTCAGCCACGCGCCCAGGGACAGTGAATGACCGTACGGCCCCTGACTCATGACATACCAGTACACCCCGCTTGAGCACCCAGCGCATCCCCCTGAACTTCACTGAAGTCACATGAAACAAAGATTTAACAAACTCGGTGGGCCGAAACGGCCACGAAATGAAGGCGGCCAGGCCGAGATCGCCACCCCACGGTGGCCTCGCAACGGAAAATCACATGGGGGAAACGGGTCCTGAAGGAAACGGGTCCCGGACCCTGGGCCCATCCCCGGGAGTTCTTCATCCCGAGTCGTTTTCTCAGTCTCGGGGCCCATGGAGGGGTCCAGGAGGCCAAAAACGGTGGAAAACCTCGGAACGTGTTTCCCTCAGGAACGGTTTCCCCCATTCGGGGGCGGCCAAGGACATGGGCGTCCAAGAGGGGGGGGCGCCAATCACGGTCGGCGGCACGTGCGTGGCCCAGGGGGGGGGGGCCAGGGACGTAGTAGAATAAGAGAAGGCGTCATGGACTCTGACGATACATCATGGCCCACGCCATGAAATCTGAGGAAATTTCATGGCGCACGCCATGAGATCCCCCCCCCCCCTAGTCATCACCCCCCTCTTGGCCGCCCCCAGCCCATGGCGAGCTGTGAACCCCCCGAGCTGGAGCCAAGCATTGCCTGCACCAGCATCGCCACCACCGCGTGGAGCCACGGAGGGGCCCCTCCCGTTGTTTTGCCCTGCTCCGCGGCGCCACACTCGGGGGGGAACACCGCGTGTGCGGGGGGGAGAATGCCAAGAGGTACCATGGGCTCAACAACGGGAGCGTTTTATTATTCGGCGTTGCGACATTGGGCGGAAGGGGGGGGAGGGGGGGTCTTGCTCCGGACCTCTGCTGAGTTCGACTGTTTGCAACAGTGCGTTCTTTGGGGGGGGAGACCCCACCTGCTCGAAAGAGGCGCCCAAAACAGCCACGATCTACTCCATAGGGGGGGCGACGGGGGGGTGCGAAGGCCCGCGTCGATCCGCAAAACAATGAATAAGATAAAGATCACCTGCATATGTTTTGTTTCACGCCCATCGAGCGACAAAAACTGAGCAAATCACAGACAGCCGCATGCTCGGGGCCTCGTGCTCACAGGGAGACAAAGCACTGCAATGTTGACGCTCACACTGTCCTCGGGCAGCAAGAAGCCACGGAATCCTACCTGCCTAAGCTCTGACCTGGAGGTCAGCTCGTGGATCGTCCTCGCGAACGACGACGGCCAGCATGGACCATGACCAAGATCGGCGTCGCCAAGATCCAGCTGCATCTTTTGGCGGCAAGCGCGGGGAGGAAGTGAGAAGGGCCCGGCCTTCTCAGAAGGCTCGGGAGCCCCACGGCCTTCTGAGAAGTTTTCCGAGCCTTCCCCGGAGACAGACAAAAAAACCTTTCAGCACGAGAGGGCGGCTTCTGGAACGTCCTGGCGCCACTGGCCTGCGGACGTCCGGCGCACACGGCCGTGCCGCGCAGCAGCGCGCCCCGCCCGCGCACGAGAACTTCTGCCGACCGGGCGCGGCGGCCTGCCTTTTGCGCAGCAGCGCGGCCAGACGCTGACGGCGGCGGTCAGACAGGCTGGAGCCCAAGAGGCCCCCAAGAGGCCCCCACGTGGGGAGAAGACAAGGCACCACCGCCGCCACCTGGGGTGGTTAATCAGGGGTAGTGGTGGCTTATATCGTTTCGGGCACCCTCGCGGGACATCGTGCACACTTGCCGCTCCTCCTGAGTCCCCCCCGGTGGTGGTGCTGGTGGTGCGCTTCCGGCTCCCAACCCCAGGGCCCCCACAAAGCACCCAGGAGCCTTGACGGGCCCTCCCTGAGAGGCCGCGCCCCAAGCCTCCAAAAGAGGTCCACCCCCGCAGCGGACGCGGAGGCGAAGGCGTGGACAGTGCGGCAACAGCCGCACGAAGGCAGAGCCGGACCGAGCCCAACACCACACATCTCCTCCTCCGGGGGCACGCGGAACGGCGCAGGCCTCTTGAATGGTGAAGGCGGTCAGATACGCTGACGCCATCACGACCCAGTACAGGAACATGGCCCCTAAGATCGCCGCGTCGTCGTCCTTCGAGTTCTTCTTCCCGCCCGTCGCGGCCATCGCGTCGAGCGTCGTGGTCGCATTGGTGGAATTGTCGTCACCCGCGTCCGTGCCGTTGTCCGCGTCGGTCTCGTCCGTCATGCGCCGTGTACTCCAAAGCTCGTGTCGTACCTTCCGTGATTTCCACGGGCGAGGCCCTCTCCCCCCCTGGCCTGGCCGTCCAAGCCGGTGTGTTGTTTCTCTCACGGGGGCGGTGGGCAGCAGAGACGCCGTAGCCCGCGCGCAAAAGGGTCTGAAAGTGCGCGTGTGCGTGTAAATGTGTTGTGTGTATGTGTGTAGCTGTGTGTGTGTTAGTGTGTCTGTGTGTGTGTCTCTGTCTGTGTGTCAGTGTGTCTGTGTGACAGTGTGCCTGTGTGTGTGCGTGCGTGTGTGTCTGCGTGTGTGTGTGTGTAAGTGTGTGTGTGTGTCTGCGTGTGGTGTGTCTGCGTGTGTGTGTGTGTGTGCGTGTGTGCGTGTGTCTGTGCATGTGTCTGTGTGTGCGTGTGCGTGTGCGCGTGTGCGTGTGCGTGTGCGCGTGAGTGTGCGCGGAGATGTGCGTGCGCGCGTGTGCGTGAGCGTGAGCGTGTGCGCGTGTGCGTGTACGTTCGCGTGTGCGTGTGCGTGTGCGTGTGTGCGTGTGCATGCGCGTGTGCACGCGCACGCGCACGCGCGTGTGCACGCGCACGCGCACGCGCACGCACACGCGCGCTCGCACGCGCGTGCGTGCGTGCGTGCGTGCGTTCGTGCGTGCGTACGTGCGTGCGTGCGTGAATGCGTGCGTGCGTGCGTGCGTGCGTGGTTGCGTGCGTGTGCTTGTGTGCGTGTGTGCGTGTGTGTGCGTGTGTGTGTGTGTGTGTGTGTGTGTTTGTGTGTTTGTGTGTGTTTGTGTGTGTGTGCGTGTGCGTGCGCGTCCGCGTCGGATCCATGTCCGACCCTCGCCGAGTGCGCGGCCGGGACGAGCCCGCGTCCAGACGGTTGCAAGGCATGAGTCGGCCATTGGTGGAACGGGGAGGGCCCCACGAAGAGCGACAGCCGTCGGCCCCCCGCAGGCTCACACGCTCTCCGTCGGCTCGGAAATACAGTGGAGGCCAGTCCACAAGAAACCCTTCACAAGAGACCCAACCCTGGGACCCCAGGACGTCCATGGATTTTCTGGCGTGGGAGCGTCGCGCTCTCAACAGACAAACCATCAAGACCCAAGACGCCCAGGGCACCCTGGAGGCAAGCAGGGCGCTTCTTGGCATGGGCTTCCACTGTAGCCCCTGCACTGCCAGGCAAGACTCGGAGGACGACGGCGCCGCGGACACGAGCACCGAGGGGGGACCGAGCGACGAGGCCACAGGAGAGCTGACACCTGGGGCGGACCGGGCGGCGAGCCGCGCGGGGTGCCCTTGCCAGGAGCACGCGGCGGGATGCAGCTGCGTCGGCCTGCGCGCCCGACGGGGGGCGTCGGGAGGGGGGACCAGCTCAGGGGGGGAGCGCCCCGTGGGCTGTGCGGCGACCCGTGGGCGACTGGGGGTCGATGTGCCCCCCCTGGCATTGCCCCTGAGGCCCCCCCCCCCCGGACAGTGCCCCCGAGGCCCCGCCCCTGACATTGCCCCCGAGGCACCCCCGATTGCCCCCCCTGAGCTCATCCCCCCGCCCCCCCTCCCCGCGACACACGAGAGCCGCGCACCCAGAGACCACACGGGCGAGGGGCCGCTCAGGGTGGAAGACGGAAAAACGCCATACTGTGGAGGCCGAGTTCATAAGGAACCTTCCGCAGTGCGTCCGAGCGTGGGCCTCCAGGCCCACGGTGCGGCTGGGCAGTGGGCTCGGGCCCCGAGGGCGGCTTTTTGGGCCGCCGGCGGGGTGCCCAGCCGAGCCCGAGCTCCTCCGCGCCCGCCGTGGCGTCGCCCAGGCCCCGGTCCCACGCCTGTGGCGGAACCTGGCGGCACGCCGCGCCAGTTGTCGCCGCCGCCGCCGCCTCGTCGCCAAGCAGACCGGCCGTGGCGAGAAGCCCGCCCACGGGAAGGGACAGAGAGCATGGCAATGGGTCCCGCGCGTTGGTGAGAAAGGTCTGATCCAGCATCAGCATCGGGAGCCGCGCGTGCGCACACACAGTAGGGGCTCGACCACGAGAAACCTGCCACAGGAGACCCACCCCCGAGACCCCAGTGTACCCATGGATGTTTGGCGTGGGAACGTCACGCTCTCCACAGCGAAACCATCGAAACCCGAGAAACCCAGGGCACCCTGGAGGCGAGCAGGGCGTTCCTTGGCATGGGTCTCCACTGCAGAACTCCTGAACAGCTCCCAGAGTGCGACATTGGTGACTTCCAGAGAATGCCTGGCAACGTCTCGCGCGCCGCGCCCAGCCGTGACGACGAGGACCCCCAGCAGCACCCCCAGGCCGCCAGCACGGCAGCGTCGTCCGTTCGCTGCGGACGGCCCAGGCCTCCGACCGGAGGCTTCCCGAGGAGTCTTGGTGCCCGCTCCATGGGGGACACAGCGGGGCCCCTGGCGCTGCCCGATTTGGGCCTGGCACCCAGCGCTGTCCGATGTGGGCCTGCTTTGGACGAGACCTGGAGCACACAACGGAGACGAGCAGGACGAGGATGGGGAGGGAACAGCAAAGGCAAGGAGGAGCAGGAGGAAGGGCCAAATGCGGTCCGAGCTCGGTCCAGAGTCAGGAAAAGCGGATGTCAATGTCGCCATTCAGAGCTCCAAGAGAATGAGCATCGTTTCACCGACTCCTATTCCCATGGGCGTAGCCGATGTACCCCCCTAGATGGGGACATACAGGCTCCTGTCTTCGGGCTTCGAGGGGTATGTCCCCAACTGGGGTGCTGAGATGGTGGGGTTCTGGATAGGGATGGGGATAAGGATAGGAGCCGGCCAACGTCACGATGCTGAGAACAGGGCGATTCCGGAAACCCTGAACCCAACAGCGGTGTCATCTCTTGGGGGCTCATCTTCTACTTCCGCCACCCCTGAGGAGGAGGAGGAGGAAGAAGAAGAGGGGGAGGAGGAGGAGGAGGAGGAGGAGAGGAGGAGGAGAGAGGAGGAGGAGGAAGAAGAGGAGGGGGAGGAGGAGGAGGAGGAGGAGGAGGAGGAGGAGGAGGAGGAGGAGGAGGAGGAGGAGGAGGAGGAGTAGGAGGAGGAGGAGGAGGAGGAGGAGGAGAAAGAGGCGGAGCTTTGCGCAATGCCGCCGCCCTCCCGCCGGCTGTCTGCCGGCGAAGGCGCCCTCGCTCCACGTACCGCCGTCCTGCCGCCGAGGAAGAGCTGCCTATGCCCTGCCGCCCTCGAGGGCGAGACCTCTCTCGGCACGCCCGAGCTGAGCTCGGAGGATCGCCCGCCCCGTCGGCGATGCCCGGACAGAGACGAGATGGCCCCCCCAACTGGCGCGCCGCACCGCCGGCGCAGCGGCGCTGCGGCTCGCTCCTCGGGCCCCTTCGCGACGATCCTCGAAACGCGTGTTGGCCCCCGCGGGCGCTGGTCCATCGAGGCCCTGCGATGCGCCGCAGGCGGTGTAGTGATCTACAGGCTGGGCTGCAGGGGGTAAACACACACTGGGCTGGGACCATCGACCTCCGCCCTGCTCGGAGCCCCCGCGCGGGAGGCCCGGACCGCCGACTCTGCGTCCCCGCGGGGCCCGCGGCAGCCCCGAGAGCCATTCCCCGAGGACGGGACCTGCTCCGCATCCTGAGCTGCGACTCGCCCAAAGAGGCCGACAGGCTCAGAATCCCACACACACACACACACACACACTCACACACACAGACACACACACACACAATGCGGGCAATACTTCGATCCATATCCAGTGCGTCCTGGACTTTCTTGGAAGGGGCGCCGCAAGGCAAAGCCGCACTGGATAGGCATGAAATCTGGCCTTTGGGGGCCAGACTTTTATCCATATCCACTGCGCCTCTTTTTGGGGAAGAGAGCCCGAAACTCCAGGACGCACTGGATGTGGATATAGGGATTGCCCGCACGAAAGGCCTTCTCGACTTGTGGACCCCGTCGTCGCCCCCAAACAACGTCCGATGCCTGGATGTCTTGGCTACGGAGTCTCTCCGGACTCCTCCACGACACATTGCCCAGGACCGGCCTCGTTGGTCGACGGCCCCGGGGGAGCCGCAAGGGCCCCCGAAGGCCGAAAGGTACAGTGGAGACCAGTCCACAAGAAACCTTCCACAAGAGTCCCAACCCTGAGACCCCGGGACGTCCATTGATTTTTGGTGTGGGAGCGTCACGCTTTCCACAGCAAAACCATGGAAACCCAAGAAACCCAGGGCACCCTGGAGGCAAGCAGGGTGTCTTGGCATGAGTCCCCATCCAGAAAACAGTCGTCCAGGTGCCACGACGCGGGGAAGTTTGGGATTTGATCGGTGGCAGCTCATGGGAGCCTCCCATACCATCTTGTCGGCTCTTGCGAAACGACGCTAGTCGACACCAACCGACGCTCAATCGACGCTAGCCGACGCTGAATCGGCGCCATCTCATCGACTCCCAGACGCCAATCCACGCTAGTCGACGCTGAAGACGGAATCGAGGGGGTAGACCAGGCCCCCTTGATTTGCTACCGAATTCCGCGGCGCGGGGAAGTCTGGGGAATGGGATCAAGAGTCCATGCCCGAGGCCGATCCTGGCGCGCGCTTGGACCAGAGACTGGAGGGGAATCCAGCCGCGGAGGCGAGGAGCCTCCTCCCACGGGACCCTCAGGAGGCGGAAGACACGTCAACACCTCGACCTTCGAACCTGCGAGAAGTATTCGACCGGGCCGTCCCTGGGCACTTTGCATGGTGAACGTCTTCTTACTTGGCGTCTCGGCGCTGAGCGGAAGGGGGGGGGGGGTCTGGCTCCAGACCTCTGCTGAGTACGACTGTTTGCAACGCTGCGTCCTATGGGGGAGACCCCACCTGCTCAAAACAGGCGCCAAAAACAGCCCACATCTACTCTCCATTTACCAGCCTGGAACATATCCCTATCCCTATGCTGGGCATCTCCTCATCACGATGCCAATCTTAGGGATTCCCTTATTTTTTGGGGGAAAAATCCCTAAGATTGTCATCGCCTTTTGGTGTGTCAATCTTAGGGATAGGGATACGTCCGAGGCTTGTAATCCATGGGTGGGGGAGGGCGGGGAAGTGCGAGGGCCTGCGCAGATCGGCTAAACAAGACAGAAGGACACGATCACCTGTAAGAGCTCTGACAAAGCCCCCCAAAAAAGGAAGAACCATTGTGGCCGCCCACTCGTGGAACTGTGAAACGCTGCTTAGGGTCTGCTGCCGCAGGTCGTCAGCCGTCGCTGTCGTCGCATGCCGCGTCCCCCGCCGGCCGTCGTCGGTCGTCGTCGGTCGTCGTCGTCGTCGTTGTCGTCGTCGTCGGCCGCCGCGTCCTCCGCTGGTCCGCGGCCTTGATCGTCGGCCGTCATCGGTGGGCCGTCGTCGGTCGTCGGCCGTCGGCCGTCAGCCGTGGGCCGTGGGTCATGGACGTCGTCGTCGTCGTCGTCGTCGTCGTCCGTCGTCGATCGTCGTCGTCGGTCATCGTTCGTGGTCGCCGGTCGTCGACGTCGTCGCCCAAACGACGACGGCTCTCTCCGCGCGCCGCCGGGGAAGAACGGCGCAGAGCAGGCAGTAGAGGCCCGCCGCGAAGAGGCAGAGCTCCACGGCGGAGATACCGCGGCCGACGAGCCTCTCTCGGCGCGGTTGGGGGTTGGGGGGGGGCAGATGCGGCCACGAGAGGCCTCCTGGACGGGGTGTCGGGGCAGATGCTGTCGGAGGATCGCGCCACATCGGCGATGCATCGGCGATGCATCGGACACGTCGGCGATACATCGGCGACGTCGGTGTAGAGAACATCGGGCTACACGTCGAGACGCATCGCAAATGCGCGGCGCCATCTTCCGACCATCTGCTCTGACCCCATCCCAAAAAAGCAGATCCAAGAACTCCGCGTGGACCGTCGGAAGTGTTTTTGCAGTATGCCGTTATCCCACTTCGAACCTGCGGCAAATTCGTGTCGTGGCGAATTGCGCGGTGATGCCTGACACAGCGTAACACAGCGTGGGGGGGAGTGGAGGACAAGAAAGAGGAAGGGGTGGAGCCGGGGAGGAAGGGGTGGACGGGGAGGAGGATGAGGAGGAGAAAGAGGAGGAGGGGCAGGAGGAGGAGGACCACAGCCCCAAAATGTATCAACGATCGAAAGGCATTTCAGTTGCCAGACCGTGCCGAAGTTGGTCCATTCCAGGCCGCTGGCGGCGGCGCGCCCAACCTGGAACGCCCGCGCTGGGGTCGCCGCCGCATCGACGCGACCCCAAAACTGCCGCACGCCACGATCTGGAAAAACTGCCAGTCCTCCCTCCTCCTCCCTCCTCCTCCCTCCTCCTCCCTCTTCCTCCCTCCTCCTCCCTCCTCCTCCCTCCGCCTCCCTCCTCCTCCCTCCTCCTCCTCCCTCCTCCTCCCTCCTCCTCCTCCCTCCTCCTCTCTCCTCCTCCTCCCTCCTCCTCGAAGGGGTACCGCTGCCAAAGCTCCGACCAACCCCGGCCGACCCTTCGGCCAGCCTGCCGGGCCAAACCCCTCCGGCAGACCCTGGCTGGGGTGCTCCCTTCCGTAGGCTCTGCCGCCGTGCCCTCTGGCACGCTGAGGCGCGGAAGAAGACCCAGGCCTGCCTGGGGCCCTATAGGGTTCTTGTACAGTGGAGGCCAGTCCACAGGAAACCTTCCACCAGAGACCCAACCCCGAGAGACCCCAGGACGTCCACGGATTTTTCTGGTGTGGGAACCTCGCGCCTTCCGCGGCGAAGCCATCGACCGAAGCCCAAGAAACCCAGGGCACCCTGGAGGCCAACAGGGTGTGCCTTGGCAAAGGGCCGCCCTGACCTCTACTCGCGGACTGCTGCGCGCCTCCACCCCTCCGCTCACCGAGGCCGCTCCCCTCGTGCCCCGCTCGCGGAGGGTGCACTCCCCGCGTGCCAGCTAATGCCTGACCCCCCATTCCACGCGTCCCCGCGCGAGGACGGTGCACTTCCCGCCCGGCTGCTGACTCCGGGCCCCTCATCCCACGCGCACCCGCTCGAGGACCGTGCACTTCCCGCACTCCCAGCCGCTGCCCCCAAGCTCTCCAGGGCCTCTCAAGCAACGGCCCCTCGTAAGTGTATGGACATGCGTCCCGAGCTTCCAAGACGGCCCGTGCAGGCAACCAAGGACACCAAGAAGGCCCAAGATGCCCCACGCTGCCGTGAGCTCAAGACGGCGCCAGAGGACTCCACGATGGCCCAAAAGGCATCCGAGACGGCCCAAGAGGAGATCCCGCGGGACCCAAGACGGGCTTACATGGCCCATCGACGGCCAAAGACGGCGCCAAGACGGCTCCCAGACACCCACCATGAGGACAAGAGGGCGCCAAGGCGGCCAACGAGAGCCATGAGCAGGCGTAAAAAGGTTCCAACAAAGCACACGCTGGCCCGAAGGAGCCCGCAAGACTCCCTCTGAGGACGCCAAGACGGCTTCAAAACAGCTCAAACGAGCTTCATCATCGGCAACATCATCATCAGCAGCAGCATC